CGCCAGCCCCGCGCTCCGGTCGCCGCTCGGCAGCTCAAGGGGCGGAGAGGGGGAGGGGCGGCGGGAGGGGAAACTGGCCTCCGGGCACAGCGTCCTCCGAGCCCCGGCGACCCGCTCCCGACTTCAGCGACCTACCCACCCTGGCCACCTTTCCACTTTCTTCTCCACTTTTCTGCCTTAAGACTAAGCCTCTCGCTTCTCTGGATGGCCTCACTTCTTCCCTCTTTCCTAGACTGCCGCCCCCTGACGAGCCGCAGCACTTGCCCCTTCCCAGGACCCCAGACCCCACTGGACCTATTCACCCTCTAGGCTGCTGCACTCTGCTCATCCTCTCCACCAAGTCTGACCTCAGCTTAGGATCCCTCCCGACTTCCGGGAGAGAGATTTCAAGGTGTGGGGAGAAGAAATGGGGACAGTGAGGAACCACGGTAGGCAATACCCGGACTGCCCCTTCCAGGGAGCGAGGGATCAACTGCAGCCACCGGGACTGCGCTGAACTTGAGGGCTATCTTCTCCAAGTAAAGAGGGACGAGCTGTCAGCGTTAACACAGCCGGGAGAAAGGTTCGCCAAAGCGTTTTCACCAGCTAGAGTATGTGTTGCGTGCACCCTTGGTATATGCGTGAGCCCCTGCTCTCCAGACCTTTCTCCAGAAAAAAAAAAAAAAAGCGTACACGGTGGGTGGCGTGCCCGGAGTCCTGCCGGGTATTGTCAGCCTTGAAGGGCTCTGAATAAGCTGGGGCCTCTCGCCCAGGCATTCACCAGACAAAAGCGCCTTCTGCGGGATTCTGGAAGCCACATCCAGACGCCCTCCTGCTGCCCTGTGCCCTAACTTCTCAGGCTCGATTTCTCACCCTGATTTAAGCATTCTCCAAGGACCTCTAGAGAACTAGCGTCCCAACTTAGTCTATTCCGAAAGTATCTAGTTAAACTGTGCCTTGTGGCTGGTTTTGGGGGAGCTGCCTCCCAGAATTTTAAAACAAAGTGAATTCGACTTTAAGATACACTTCGGATATACCACAAATAAGTATTCCCTGAATACAGCAGACTCTGGAGGTTTGGGGGACCACCCAGTGAATCACAACAACCTTTCACAAGCTCCCTCCAAGGGAATCCTACCACCTTCTGCTTCCCCGGGACACGTGTGGCTGTGTGAATGGTCTCAGAGGCAGAGGTGTGGAAAAGTCTCCTCGCCAGTGGTTCCGGAGCACAGGAACAAAAAAGTGCAGGCTTCAGCCGCTCCAGAGTGGTATGACATGCCTTCCCTTTCCCACTAGGGAAGGAACAAGAATAGGAAGGAGAAAGAGGTTGTTAAATGGTGGGATGTGTGAAATGCCAGCATCAGGAAGATGAGGAGAGGAATGGGGAACTTTGGAGCAGGCCATGTACTGAGGACCCCTACATCCTGCCACAAAGAAAAAGCAGCAAAAAATATCACCCCTTTCTTAGGAGGAGGACGGATTGTAAGACTCAGAAAGTTTCCAAAACCTACAAGACTCAGGAGGCACTTCCCTGTGACCACATCACCAGTAAGCAATTGTTGGGACAGAGACAAAGACATGGTATTTAAAATTAAACTTTTTTTTTTGAGATTATGTCTTTTCCCCCTTCCCTTTCCTCCCTCTAAACCCTTTCATATACCCTCCCTTTCTCTCTTTCAGATTCATGGCCTCCTTTTTCATTAATTGGTGTGTGTGTGTGTATGTGTGTGTGTGTGTGTGTGAACACATATATTCCTAAATACCCTGCTTATTCTGTATAGTTATTTTGTATGTATGTTTTCAGGGCTGACCATATTGGGTAACCAACTGGCATGCTCTTTCCTGGGGAAGACAATTCTCCTAATCTTTTTCTCTTTTTAAACTAAGGAATAAAAACTATGAGGAATGTAGGCCAGGTGTGGTGGTGCACACCTTTAATCCCAGCACTCAAGAAGCAAAAACAGGCAAATCTTTGTGAGTTCAAGGCCTGCCTGGTCTACACAGCAAGCCAAAACAGTCAAGGCTACATAGTGAAAATCATCTCAAGAAACAAAAACAAACAAACCTATGGAGAATGGGAAGCAAACCTTGATATTAAAATTAATATTAGGATTAAGTTTTACTTTGTGACTTTTAAAATATATTACTATCTTTTAGCATTTTTGAGGTATATAAAACAAAAATGTAACTCCACAATAAAGGGATCCATTTAACATTTAACATTGTTTGAACTCAGAAATTAGAATGCTCTTTAGAGTCTTCGACTGCGGCTCTACACAGAACTGCCACAGTGTTGTGCACTTTGTATGCTGCACAAAACCAGGAAAGGTGGGGTCCAGCAGTACTCATTCCACTGTGCCCTTTTCCTGGGAGCGTAGATTCTCTATAACCCAAAATAACTGGTACACCTGATGAGGGCAGGGGATGGAGTTCTATGGGTTAAAAAAAAAAAAGTGTTCAATCTAGGCAGTACGATGTGGGGGGCGTATCAACTTGATTTAAGCAGGTTGGAATCTAAGCTCCTTTCCCCACTCCCTTACCATAGAATAAACACTGGAGTCATAATATTGAGAAATGGAACAATGATTCTTCCCATCACATAGTAAATTTCCTTACGCAGATCTTCATGGAGTTGTTTTCCTTTGCCTTGAAGGCAATGTAGGTTTAGCTCCGTATCACAGAGTCCAAAGTCCTCTGAGCAGACAAAAAGCCCCCCAAGACACTCCCAGATTCTAGAGTTCAGTGCTCATGGCCCGCACCCGAGTCTCTACCATTTTGCTATGTTCATCACTGTGACAAATACTGGAGAACAATTAAGAGAAGGAAGAACTTCCGGTCCACAATTCAGAGAAGGAAGGACTTCCGGTCCGTGGTTCCAGAGACGTCGGTCCACCGCAGTCTGGCTCTATGGTTCCTCGAGGCCGACTATTACAGTACCTAGTGGATGTTCAGCAATGGCCGTCAAGAAACAGAAGCCAGAGGGAAAGTGGGGATATAAAGATGAATCCCTGGTGACCTACTTCTTCCAATCAGCCCCTACATCCTACTTCATATTACCTTCCGATACCTCCATCAGAACATCGATCAGTCAATGGATTAGCCCATGGATTTGCTCATGACCTAATCATTTCTCAGTGATTAGAGCTAGCAGCTCGGGACCAAAGCTTCCATACGTGAACTTTTGGGGTACACCTCACACACAAGCCGTGCTCCCTGATGCTCAGCACAAAGAAGACCTCCTGCTGCTGAGATATTCTGTTTCAGTGGAGCATCCATGGTACTGCCTTGACACTGCATGGTCACTGAATTGGAGATTCTCAGTGGTGGGGCCGTATCTTACCGTGTTCTGTAGTCCTCAATGCGGTACCCAATGCAAAATTCTCTCTGACGTGCCTGATGCACCAGAGAGTAGACTAGGGAGCTAGCATTTCCTCCAGAAGATCAGAAAGCTGTAAACCCCCTGAAGAATTTTTTTTGACAAAGTGCTCCTAACACATAAATATTTCTGTCTGATTTCTGGAGGCTAAGTTGAACAGTGCAGACGCACTGCAGGATGGGGAATACGTTTGAACATATCTTCTGGGCTCTGAACTTGTCTCTAGACAGCTGAGCTTGTCACTCAGGGCAGGATATGAATATATTGCTTGTAAGCTATTACTGGAATAAACTGTAATTTTACAATTTCCTGGACACGTGAAGCTATTAATTCTCATTCTGCTAAATTTTATGAACTCACAAACACTTCTAAAAGGTTCTTGACAACAAGAACTTTGGTTTGCAACTACAAAGTGTTCTATTTAATTTTATTTATTAGCTCTTTCATTGCCACTGGAGACCCAGATGCACAGACTGAGGAAGTAGTACTACCCCACGCTGTGCGAAGACGTCCTCTGGTCTCTGTGATTGTAAACAGAAAGGGCACCGCTAGAAGCCCATTTACTCACTGCTCTGTTCAATGTTCTCAATATATGATATATATGTACACACACACACACACACACACACACACACACACACACATATATTGCATTTCTGTTGAAGTGAGCATGGAACATGCTCTGAACAATCCACTTTTCACCTGTATGGTAAAGACATCGAAGTAAATCAATGCAAAGGAGGAACCCTCATACGCTGAACTTGGGGTACCAGCCAGTTTACCCACTGTGGAACTCCACATGGAGGTGTCTCAGAAAACTAACACTGGATCTACCGTATTACCCAACTTTGCCACTCCTGGGCATTTCTCTGAAGGACTCCAAGTGAACACATCACAGAAAGATTAATTTTGACCACTAGTGTCAGAGGTTTCAGCCTGTGGTCACTGGCTGTTGTTTTTTGGTCCCTCCATGATCACATGATGTGAAGCAAAGCTGATCATTCCATATGGCCAGGAGACAGAGAGAGAAAGGAAGAACTAGGGACCAAGTGTACCTTTCAGGACCACACCCCTAGTGATTTACTTCTGCAGTCTAGACCCTACATCTTGGTTTCTACCATTTCCAAATCATGCTTTCAAATTATGGCTCCATTATGGACCTGTCAATCCCTGGGGTCCAGTCATTTGCAAAATGTCCCACCTCTGAGCATTGCACCGGTGAAGCAAGCACACGAGTTCTAGGCCCATTATCTAAACAATCACACTCAGTCCATATCATCACTGTCTACACAGGTATCGTGCCCCAGGCTAAGAACAGTTCCGACAGTTGCCATGTTTTACCAGACGTTTGAATGACTTTGGACAGAACACGATTTTAAGTTACACTAAGTTACACTAAGTTTGCTCGGTCCTCTTTGTTATAGCAGCAGTGACTACCGCACACATGGTGTGAGTTTCTGGCCACCTTGAAGGGAGTGAGAAGGCCCGGCTTTCTCATCATCAGTTAATAACACTGTTACACCCCAGGTACAGCCCGGGCACTAGAAACATTAGTGGCATCGTCATTTGGGGATTACTTTTCCAGGCTTGCTTTGCTTTCCTTTAAGTGAAATGGACCCAATTTTCAAAAATGAGACTTTTATTTGATAGTCCATGGCTTGGTGAGGTTCTAAGATCTGAATGCTGAGAGATTGGTATACAAGGTGACAGATTTCCAGAAGGTGAGAGGACCAGGGAGATGTGGTACTGCCAAGGAAAGGGGAGTCTAGTACCCCTCAATACCCCAGTACCTGCTCTGCAGTGACTAAGAGCATAGCCAGGCTTGGCATCGGGCTGTTCTTTGACACATAGCCGATAACACCAACAACACCAACAACACCGGAAGTAACCTAAATGTGCACAGTAGGGATTAAATAAACCTTAGTCATCCATCTGCCTAAAGATACGACATAAAAATTATGGCAGAGTATGTTTCTAGGAAAATATTACAGGAGAAAACTGTCATTTCTATTTTTTCTGTGCCCAAGTTTCCTGGAAAAATCACAGTTGTTCACTGGCCACCCCAGTGTTGTCCACTCTATAAATGTGAGGTGGATGTGTGACAAGCCCTTAAGGGTGTCACATCTTCCAACCACGTGAGTGGTCAAGGCCACCTCAGCACAAGACTCCAGTCAGAGTCAAAAAGACGCTAGCCTCAAGTTTTGTGGGACTGTTGGACATGTGGGTGTCTGCATGTGTTTACATGTAGGGAACTGTATATGTATACATGTGGGGACTGGATATGTGCACACATGGGGGACTGTATATGAACATATGTGGGGGCTGAATATGTGCACATGTGTGTGCAGGTACACATGCTTAAATCTGGGTCAGAGGATGATGTACAGCCCCCTCTACTGTCACCCTCTGACTTATTCCTTTGAATCAGGGTCTCTCCTTAGACCTGGAACTCCTGGTTTTCGTCCAAGATGGCAGTTCTCAGGTCCCAGCCATTCTCTTGTCTCTTTCCTCCATGACACTGGCATGACAGACACACTCAAGACACACTCAGCACATTAGCAGGTGTCGGGGTTTGAGTTTAGATCCTCATGGCTACGCATGTGTTTTTAACCACTGAGCAATCTCTCCATGTGCTAGACTTAACTTTCTAAGAAACACACAACTTATTTTTCCCGAATGATTACACCATTTCATATTCCCATTGGCTTTATCAAGGATACCAGTTTCTTTGTATCCCTGCTGACAAGCATTAGTGAAATTGACTATAACATGCCAGAGGCAATCCAGTGCCATGTCCTGGGATCGTAAACTGTATTTTCCTAGAATATTCATTACTTCTATTTTCAAGGGGCAGAAGTGGCCCTACAACTTGAGCAACTGGTTCTATTGTCCCACAGTTAGGTCCTTGTATGCCAGAATTACAGTTTAGGAATTCCAGTTCAAATCCACAAGCCTTGTAGGACCCAGTTTGTCAGAAGCGAGGTCTGTGAAGGAAAAAAAGGATTAGCTGGTCCCAGACTTGGGGCTGTCAGGAATGTTGGGCGATCTCCTGGGAATACGAGGGGTTGTCCTGTGATCTCAGAACACCAACAACACTGCTGAAGGCCCAGAAGCTGCGAGGGTGCAGCTCTTCCTGCCCGTTTCCTCCTTGCCGAGGACCTCAGAGGGAGCTCTCCACGAAGCCTCTGCTTAGCTGATGCCTTCCTTGTTTGCTGAGCTTGATGGGAAAGCCTTTCACTAAGTGAATCACTGTGCTCCTTTTTGGACTTAGTTTGGTTTGATGAGCCTCTGGGGTTTTCCAACCACTCACAGTTGCACTGAGATTTTTTGTAACTAAACTTTAGGAAATATGTAACCTTTCTTTGGCCTCCCTGGCAGGTTCAGCTGCAGCTTCCAGCTGCAATCTCCAGCTCACCCCAGCCCCAGCTGCTCCTTTGGATTCCCCTCCAGCAAAGCAGAGACACATGTAACCCTCATGCTAACCTCTGTGCACGGGTGTCTTCCTGCAAGCACTTGTCGGAGATGCACAGCAAGCCCACCAGCTTCACACAAGAGTGATGTACAGGGGAAAAAAATGTGTCCTGCCACTTGGCGTTGAGATGCTTATGCAAGCATCCTTTGGAAAAAGTGACACCCCATAATTGTCATTTCTCATTTGGCAATGGCAGGAAACTCATTGCCAAGGTCTGAGCTCAACCATAAAACATGCCTGAAGGAGTCTGCAGCCCTGACTCTCTCCTAATGAGAGCTGGCCCTCCAGCACCCTCTGGGCCTAGGATGTGAAAATCAGAGAAACCTAAATATCTGCCCTGAAGGCGCTTCATCAAATAAGTGGACTTCACAATTAAAGAATTGGGTCCTCCTTACAGAGGGATGAGGGGCTGTTAAATGGCAACATGAGAAGCCAATGTCACAAGGCCCGCACTGCTGGGAGATGCTGTCGGCCTTGGTAGAGAAAGACTGTCTCAGAGACTGGGACCAACGACAGAAGAGCCACTGTCCACAGGATGAGCGTGGCCCTGAGTGCGGGCCCCAAAACCCAGGTTCAAAAAAAGCTGGGCAGGGATGTGTGCGTACAAACCCTGTCCTGGGGAAGCATAGAGGAGCAGATCCCTGGGGCTCACTGGCCAGCCCAGCAGACCCAGCAAGCTCCTGGATGAGAAACCCTGAGCCAAAGAACAAAGCATTTGGCTCCCAAGGAACGACACTGGAAGTTGACCTCTGACCTCCAGAGGCACACACGGTCAAGAACATGCACACATAAATGAGGGAGGAGAGAGTGCTTTATTACACAGAAAACTTCGTGCTTCCCAGTCCTGCTCTTCAGGATCAGGTCTCAGGGTCTCCCTAAGTTCGTCTGGCTTTGATCTGCACTACTGCAGCACACTCCTGAGGTCCCTGAAGCCCCCAGTGACCACGATGTCCTCAGTGGAGTCCTGGTCCCCAGAGCATCCTTTCTACCCTCTCTGAGAACCCAGCAAGGCTTCTCTTTGTTTGTTTCTTTCTAAAATGAACTTGGTCCTGGGTGGGTGGGGGAGTGCTTTTGTTTTGTTTTGTTTGTTTTGAGACCAATCTCCCAGTAGCCCAGGCTGTCCTTGGACTTTTTAGGGGAAGATGATCTTAACTTTCAGTTTTCCCGTCTCCACTTCCAAATGGTTCGGTTTACACTTGTGTATAACGATTTCAAACTTGGAGGGGGTGTTTTTATTGTTTGCTTGTTTGTTTGTTTTTGAGAAGGGCTAGCTCCATGGTACCAATAAACGAGGTGGGCGCAATGATCTCCTACCCATTCCCCACCCTCACAGGCCTGACCCCTGGTTGTCTTCATCCTCCAAAGACACCTCACACCGGGATATGCACAGATGCTTTGAACTCTAAGACACGTTAAACAAGACTCTTTCCTATCAAACACTATAGAACTGTTTTATGACAAAGAATTCAAATCTTTTGTTCCCTCCCACCCCACAAAACCTTTGCTTGCTCAAAGACTCTGGCACATTTTTGGATTAAAGTGGCCGATCCCTTCTCCCCTTCAACACCTTAGTACCTGATTCTCTTTAAAGTCAGCTCAAAGTGGCCAAAGACCATGAAGTGGGCTGGCAGACAATGGGGAAGAGACAGAATAAAAATTGCATGTACTTCCTGCACTGGTGTGTTTCCTGCGCCGGAGTGCGCCCCGTACTGGTGTGTTTGCTACTTGCAGTGTGGCCTCTCCATCAGGAGTAAATTTTGCCTTGTCAAGATGCTTCAGAAGGAGAGGTTCTCTCTCTCTCTCTCTCTCTCTCTCTCTCTCTCTCTCTCTTTCTCTCTCTCTGTCTCTCTCCCCCTCCCTCCCTCCCTCCCCCCCCCCGCCCTCTCATGCCCATGGTTCACTGAAGGTCCATTCTGGGTGTGTTACAGAGACATATTTCCCTGGAACCCAAAATGCAGATCAGAGTTCTCAGAGACTGTGTGATTGTCTAATCATTCTACCCTCCCCTGTAACTCCTGGCAACCACTGATCTTATTGGAATCAAGCAACATATAGCTTTTCAAGCTGGCAATGTGGTCACATTCTTCTATGTCTTTTTGTGGCTTGAACCCTCATTTCTTTTAGCACCGAGCAGTATTCCATAATGGAGATGGATTAGCTTATACACTCACCTACTGTGAACCTTCTTGTTTTCTTCTAAGTGTTGGAAATTATGAACAAAACTGCTGCAAGCATCCACGTGCGGATTTACATGTAGGTATATGCTCGTAGCTCATTGGGTGAAACACACAAATGAGATGGGGGATCACACAGTGGAACACGGATGGTTTGGTACCATGTTGCCTTCCCAGCAGCTGCTGCATTTGGAGGGGAGCAGTCTGGCATCTGGTGCACCCATGGGTAGTGTCTCTTGCTGTTTTCACTTGCAGCTCTCTGACAGCACACGTTGGCGGGTTTGTAATGGGCATCGTCAGCATGAGCTTAGGGAACAAAGACAGCACAAAAACAAAAGACTTGTTGAAAGTATTTTAGATAATTTGTTTGGAATATTTCATGAAAAGCAATGAAATTGTCGCCACCAGAAACCTAAATCTGTTAGACTCCCTTTTCCCTGATCTATTTTGAGAACTATTTCAAGTTGACTTTGTTATGAAGAGCACCACTAGGATTGAGCGCTCTGGGCTGGCCCTCTCTGGCCTCACCTCCGGTAGCAAGTTCTATCCAGGGCATCATGGCAACACCTCTCCCTCTTCTTAGGGCCACCACTTGCGCGGCCCTGTGTAGTCTCTACGTTCAGTCTGTTCTCTCCTACCTCTGCCAAGCTCTGAGCTGCTACCGTGAAGAAGGAAGCCAGGACTCTTTGACTGTCCTGTGAACAGATCAAATCCAGGACCATTCCCACCTCCTGCAGCCCCCACACTACCCGTGTGTCCCTCAGACGCTGTCACTGTGGAACCCCTGGTCCTCCCTGGCTCATGTGACCCTGCCCTTCCCGACAAACTCCAAGACTGACTGCTGGAGCGCTCCTCCAATTCCTCCTGTCCCCACCCCTTTACTTGTCACTTTCTGCCCCATGTGTGAAAACTTGCTTGATGGTGTAATGAGTATATGTGCATCTGTGTGTGTGTTTGTATGTCTATATGTATGTGAATGTGTGTGTCTATGTGTGTTGGTATGTGTGTCTATCTGTCTGTGTGTGTGGTGTGTGTGTGTGTCTGTCTGTGTGTATGGTGTATGTGT